TAAAAGCTCTTCCATCTCATTTGAGGTATTCTTATTTGGGCGAGGCTTCTACACTTCCGGTTATCATCGCTAGCTCCTTGAATAATTTGGAGGAAGAGAAATTGCTTCGAGTATTAAGGGAACATAAGACTGCCATTGATGGACCATCTCGGATATTCGGGGGATTAGTCCTTCAATTTGTATGGACAAAATTCTCATGGAAGATGATTTTAAGCCTTCGGTTGAACATCAACGCCGGTTGAATCTAAATATGAAAGAGGTGGTAAGAACCGAAGTGTTGAAGTGTTTGGATGCGGGCATTATATACCCGATCTCTGATAGTGCATGGGTAAGTCCCGTTCAAGTGGTGCCAAAGAAAGGAGGTGTCACGGTGATCGAAAATGAAAATAATGAACTCATTCCAACAAGACCTGTGACCGGGTGGAGAGTGTGTATTGACTACCGGAAGCTCAATAATGCTACTCGGAAGGACCACTTTCCCCTTCCATTTATTGATCAAATGCTTGAAAGATTGGCGGGTTATTCTCATTCTTGCTTTTTAGATGGGTATTCGGGCTATAATCAAATCCCAATAGCTCCGGAAGATCAAGAGAAAACAACTTTTACATGCCCATACGGTACTTTTGCATATAGGAGGATGCCTTTTGGTCTTTGCAACGCACCCGCTACTTTTCAATGGTGCATGGTGGCTATTTTTTCTGACATGGTGGAGAAATTTATAGAGGTATTCATGGATGACTTCTCGGTATTTGGAGATTCTTTTGATGAATGTTTAAAAAATTTGGGTGTGGTGTTAAAAAGATGCGAAGAAACCAACTTAGTGCTCAATTGGGAGAAGTGTCATTTTATGGTCCAAGAAGGTATTGTTCTTGGGCATCGAATCTCTCAGCAAGGGATTAAGGTCGACAAAGCAAAGATTCAAGTCATTGAAAAACTACCTTCTCCGACGTCGGTAAAAGGTATTAGAAGCTTTTTAGGCCATGCCGAGTTCTATAGACGTTTTATCAAGAATTTCTCAAAAATCACAAAGCCACTATGCTCCTTGCTTGAAAAGAATGCTCCATTTGATTTCTCTCAAGAGTGTCTCCGGTCTTTCAACACTCTTAAGGAGAAACTCATTACGGCTCCTATTATTGTAGCTCCGGATTGGAATTTGCCCTTTGAGCTCATGTGTGATGCTAGTGACTATGCCGTTGGAGCAGTTTTGGGGCAAAAGAGGGAAAATGTATTGCATGTCGTCTATTATGCAAGCCGAACTTTGACCGATGCTCAATTGAACTATGCTACGACCGAAAAGGAAATGTTAGCAGTGGTTTTTGCCTTTGATAAATTCTGGTCTTACCTGATTGGTTCTAAGGTGATTGTCTACACCAACCATTCGGCCCTCAAATATTTGTTTGCCAAGAAAGATGCCAAGCCGAGGTTAATTAGATGGGTTCTACTTCTACAAGAATTTGACTTGGAGATTCGTGATAGGAAAGGGGTTGAGAATCTTGTAGCTGATCATCTATCTAGACTTGAGCAAACCGAAGAGGTGGATAGTAGAGAGATAAATGAACTGTATCCGGATGAACACATTTTGGAAATCTCACATCTTTTACAAGTCTCTAATGTGCCATGGTATGCGGATCATGTAAACTTTATTGCAAGTGGTATCATTCCACCGGATCTATATTATCAACAAAAGAAGAAATTCTTTGCCGATATCAAGCAATATTTTTGGGAAGATCCATTGTTGTTTAGAAGAGGACCGGATCAAATCGTTAGGAGGTGTGTACCAGAGGAGGAAATGGAAAATATTCTTGAACAATGCCACTCTTCACCATATGGGGGTCATTTTGGTGCGCTAAAAACGGCATCAAAGGTTCTTCAATCGGGATTCTATTGGCCCACTCTGTTTAAAGATGCTCCTACACTTATCTCCAAGTGTGATCGATGCCATCGATGTGGAAATATCTCCAATCGAAGTGAAATGCCTCTGAGTTCTATCTTGGAAGTGGAGATCTTTGATGTTTGGGGGATTGATTTTATGGGTCCATTTCCATCCTCATTCTCAAATCAATACATTTTAGTGGCGGTGGATTATGTCTCTAAATGGGTAGAGGCGGTAGCATTACCCACTAATGATGCTCGAGTGGTAGTGAACTTTTTAAAGAAAAAATGTTTTCTCTCGCTTTGGTGCCCCTCGAGCTATCATTAGTGATGG